CCTTATCAGATTCAATCTTAGCTATAGACGTGAAAGCCATAAAGTTTTGTTCATCCTCACCATCAGAGGTATCACTCTGAACACTCGAATCTGATTCATCATCAGTCAAAGTCACTGCTAATACCTTACCCATCCATTTATTCAAATTCTTTTTAAAGTTATGACATTCATTCCAATAGTGACCAAAACCCTGATACCTATGGCATCTAACTGACTGGATTTTCTTACTAGAAGTCCTAGGATTATTCTTATCACTCTTATCTTTCAGGAATCTACTATGGACACCATTTTTCTTTTCTTGAGGGCTTTTCCTAGTACTCATCACTTTCTGGAATTTCTTAACGAAATAAGCTATTTCGTCATCTCTAAGGGTTTCAGCGTCAATATACTCACTCTCTTCTTCCCTAATGGTGTTCATGGTTATGGATTTAACCTTCTTCGATTGAGACATTATGAGTTCATAGGCTTGAAGCGATCCTACAAGTTCCTCTATCTTAATAGTATCTATGTCCTTACTCTATTCAATAGCTGTAATCTTAGGTCTAAACATCTCAGGTAAGGATCTAAAGACTTTTCGAACTATTTTGGATTCGGGGATCTGCTCGCCTAGGTTGAAACTAGAGTTTACTATGTCATTGAGCTTCGCATAAAATTCATCGAATGATTCATTGTCCTTCATTCTAATTTCTTCAAACCTAGAGGTTAACATCTGCAGTTTAGAGTTCTTAATGGTTTTGGTTCCCTCGTGTGTGGTCTCTAAAATATCCCAAACTTCTTTCGCAGTTTCACATATCGAAACTCTCATAAACTCATCTACAGACACAGCCATAAACAAGGCATGAAGCCCTTTACTATTCCAGTTGCATTTATCTAAGTTCGCTCTTGTCCAATTAGCAATGGGAGTGGGGATTACTTTATTATTCATTGTAGAACTAGGTGCAGTCCAACCATTCACAACACTAAGCCAGTACGCTCATCTAAGGATTTAGTGAATGCTCTCATTCTAGAATTCCAGTATGCATAGTTGCTTCCATAGAAAAATGAGGCACGGATAGTGACTGACTCATTTAGATTAATTTATGGGCTAGGAATCGAAATGTGGCTTTGATAACAATTGAAATTACGAGGTTCGACCTAAATTACACCTAGAGAGGGATGATTAGGTGATTATGCGGAATTAAAAAATAATAATTAAATAGAAACACATCACCTTTAATTATCTCTAGATGGTTAATCAATTAATTCAATTTCCCTACGTTGAATTGCCGCAATTATATGAAAACAGTAAATAACACATAGAGTGATCACGGAGAAACCCCAATTGGGTAAAAACCCCGAGCACTTTTCCAATTAAAAATCCACTATCAACGAATTTAAACTTACAACGAATTTTAACTTTCGGACCTCCTGATTGTAATTCCTATAGCCCTCCTAGATTGCGTGCCCTTGCACCAACTCTCGGCTGCAATTTTCAAAGCCGTCCTAGATTGCGTGAACCTGCATCAACTCCCGACTTTATGAATTCATCTATCTCCTGTGGATTAACAAATAACTCCACATTCTCCAACAACAATTGAAACTCTAGTCACATTCCCTTGATCTTTAGAACTCTGACAGATGTTTAGGAAGTAAGTAGTTTGATATTTGGATTAATTGGATTTGATATTTTCACCGCCAAAAACAAATCAAACTACGAAGGTTGAAAGCTATGGATGAATTTGATTAAGTAGATATGAAGCAGTATGTGTTCTCTCAATGTTCAACCTTCCAAAACATTGTTCAGAGGTAGGCTGGTATTTATACTGTAGGTTTAGGGTTGAATGAGCCGGATAAAAAATCTTAAAAACGCGAATTAAAACTTTTTGGATGACAATGTTGCTCAAACGAGAGCTTAGCGACAGGCAAGCGATAGGTTATCGCTCGAGCGAGGGCAAGGCGGCAAGCGAGCGACGATGTTTTTGTTTCTGTTGCTCGAGCGAAGACATGGCATGAGCTAGCAAAATTGCTGCGTTGTTTTTCTCCTCTTTTCATATTCGAACCCTAGAACCTAAACAACTCAATTTATGCAAATTGCAACTTACTCAAATTGCAACTTACTCCTTGACTTTTACATCATATTAATTTAAGTCCTTTTTGTTCACAGACTTCCCAATTATAATAAAACCTAACAAAGTTGATTGTAAAATTTGTAATAGAAAAAATGGTCAAAATTGTGGGTCACATAATATGTTATTGAAAAAGAGCTTCTAAAAAATGAGGTTTAGATAAATAGGGGCCAAATTAGAGCTATATTGAACGAAATTTTGAGGCCAGGTGACAATTGAACTTGTTTGGGTCATGTAAGATATGGGCTATAGGTTGGATAAGTTGGTCGACTGTGTTTAGGGTAATATGTAGATTTGTGCTTCGAGTTTCTCTTGGTTTTATTTGAAATATCCGAATGATTAAATCATTAAAATTATTGTTCTAGCAAATGTATTTTGTAACTTGAACCTCTTAATTTTTTTCTTTAGCTTCTAGTTCCTCCCCAATATCTCACTCCACTTTCTTCTTTTTTCACTGTCCAAATCGTTCACGCTACCAAAAAAAAAAAAATTGGGCACCTGATTTCACAACTCATTACTCACCACCTGCTATTAATTGTATGAAAGTTCTTATGCTTTTCTTGTTGTAGTGTTTAATTATTGATATCGATGGGGAAGACAAGTTTTTTAAAGACTCAGTGAGTCTCCTTCTAGTGATAGTTGTAACAATAAGTAGATAAAAATGTATAACAATTGGAGGTAAGACAAGTGCATGCACTTTCTTTGTCTGCTTCTACATTGCACGCACTAGCAGAATCAATTGAAACTTTGTGATATTTTTCTCTTTTTGTTATTTCGAGAAATCATAGTGCTTAAATCAATTAGATCATTTCTTTAGTAAAACAATATTTGATTATGTGAACTTCTTAATACTTTTATTTTTATTTTCAATTGTTTTGAGATGTATTAATGAAGCAATAGTGTTTTACCTTCACGTCTCTACGCAAAATTCAAAACTATCTTCCCTTTTTATTATTTTAAGTTAGTTAAGAATATTTCTATTAGCTTAAAAGTTAAAATGTTACTTTTTCTATTTCTCAAAGTGATTTTATCCCAATAAGAGTTTTGGTTAAAAATGAAAATTTACTGTAGAAAATGAACAAGTTCGATCCAAAATTTAAACCAAAAAAGGAATATAAAAACAAAAATAAATCTAAATTTATTCAATATCTTTTTTTTTCTTGTCTTTGCATTTGAATATCATAAAAGTATTTAGTTGTTTGAATGTGAAATGGTGTAGCTATTATGAGTTTAAAAATATCCCATCTAATTAAAAATAGGAAAAAGTAGAAAAAATATAGTTTAAATATATAATAACATGTTTAATAAATTGTAAAATATAAGTATGGGATGGAAATCATATATTTAGAACCTATCTGGGAGCACTCAAAATCAGAATTTCAACCGTTGATTCAGCCACTAAATTTGACCAATTTGTTTCTATGTGGACCCCACACATTTGAATAAAACGGTCCAAAAAGTACTAAATTGTCAGAAATAATCCCTTTCAGACAGGGTCTTACATTTGGCTTAAAGGGCTGTATTAGCTACGAAAAACAAACATCCGATTAAGTTATACTTAATTAGGCCTTGTGGATGATAACAGGAGTGAAGCCCTATTCCATTCATGAGCAGGAGGTAGACATTTTCCTATCCAGTTATGGCTCCACCAAAGTATTTTGGTCATAACTTTCTTCCCCGACATCCGTTTGAAACAATTCAAAGTGTTTTAAAAAGTTAACTTAAAGGGTTACAATGTTTTTAGATATACAAATTTTGGTATTCAAACGTTTACTATTCCAAAAATGTTTCTCAATCTTTGACTAAAAATCTGGAATATAACTTGTGTTATTGGAAATTGATTTGTGCTATATATATATATATATACTAATTGCATCCAAGTTACTCATAGCAATCTTCAAAGTATTGTGTTATGGCCGGAAGCAACTATTGGATATTTACAATTTGGTTCTCAAACTTTGAATTTCGCTAATTTTCACTTCTTTCTTTCACTTCTACTTTTAATCATAGAGTTTTACCTAATAAATAAAATATATAATAAATTAGGCTATAATTGCTAAAAAAAACTATTAAATGTCTATATTTTCATTGATCAAACATTATTCTTTTTAAAATGTGGATGTTAAACATTTCTATTTGTCATGTGTCGTTTGACATTTGATTATATTAGTCAAGGTTAAACGTACATGGCAAATTATTCTGAAAATACTAAAGAAAATAAAATTTTGGATAAAAATTTAAGAGAAGAAAATTGTACTCAAAACTCAACTTTCGTGATTCAATTTTTTTTAAAGATGAAATACTGAAAATGAGCAACATTTTTATATTACATTTGGTATATAAGAATTAATTACTAATACATGAGTTTTAACACTCATTAAAATTCCTAGTTACATGAATATAAATAAATTCATTATAATAACTCTAAATTCATGCAGATCAAGATTCATCAAATCAAGTTTCATTGAGTCTAGATTAATGTGAATTCTAATTAATTGAAAATTAATAACACGAAAATTATATAGACAAAGATTTTGTAGTATTTATTACATATTGAAAAATAAAAAGTAATGTATTATAGAAATAATTGAATTGTAGTATGATTAAAATCGACCAAAAAATGATTGTCACTCGATGTGATATTTAATATATTATAGATGAATAGACTGAGGTTATTAATGTAAAATTAAAACTTGATGGGAGTGAGGTAGGGACTTCGACGTGTGGCTTGCTAGTTGCTATTGCTGTCCTCCTTTGCATGTCCAAATGGACGTTTCTTTATGCATGGAGCCAGGCCAGGAATTACACCAAATAAAGATTTTATAGTTCAAATTTTGTCAAAACTTATTATAGTGGACTATACTTTCTGCGAAGGAGAGAGATAGAGAGAGAGATATGGATACCACAACAGCTAAGACGAATAGTAAAGGAGCAGAGGGAGCTGCGCATCAACCGTTGACGATGGCGGTAGCGGAGGAGAAAAAGAAAACGAAGGTGTTGGTGGCTATGGATGAGAGTGATGGGAGTTTCTATGCACTTAAGTGGGCACTTGACCACTTTTCCTGTTATCATATTCAGCGTGATCAGGAGTCTAGCATGATCACTTTGGTCCATGGTCAGCCAATCTTCCAACCCTTCATTTACCCTGCTGGACCAGGTACCCTTTGGTTCTCAGTAAATACATTTTTATATACCATACACTTCTAGAATAATAGTGGTCTATGCCGCGCCTGCCATGTTGGATGTTGTTAAGCAAGCCTAAGCACAAAATGCTACTTCTATACTCTCTCGTAATTTGCATATGTGCAGAGAAAAGAAGGTAGATTTATTTTCTTAGGATTATGGATTGAATTGCAAGCTTGTTTAATGTTTATATTGATCAAAACTAATTGAATTAAAATTTCGCTCTTCTATCGTGTAACTAATGTGGATTGCTCGCTCGATTTGTGACCGAGCTGTCTCACTGCATATGGAAATATTTTTCCCCCTTTTTCCCTCTCCCTATTTTTGGAAATTCGGAGTATATGTATTAAAGTTACACGATATCAGCCAGCTGGATGACAATCAGCAAGAAGAATGCCACGATGGATTGATGACAAAGCAGCAACATAAGAATAATCTAGAAGCAGATTAGTTAGTTTGTTTGTATATTCCATTTTACCACCACTTATTGTGTAAATTCGTCAGATAGTTGGTTAGGAATTGATTCCATTGTTTTTGTGTATATATGTATCATTCCCAGTACAGAAGAAGATAGATTGAATGGAAATTATTTCTGCTTCATCTCAAATTATAATTTCTACCTTTTCTCAATTCATTTACATCAAAACTTAACTTTCCAAATCTAACATGGTATCAGAGCATGAAATGGAGGAATCAAATACTCCTACAAATGCAAATATCAACCCAGATCAAACCCAAAGTTCACGGTAAGCTGATGAAAGGAATACCAACATTCTTGTTCATGATCCAGCTCATCCCAGTAGTCCTTACTACATTGGGAACAATGATGGAGGTGCACTGATGCTGGTCACCCACGTTTTAGATTCTACCAGCTATTATTCCTGGGCTCGATCAATGAGAAGAGCATTAAGAATAAAAAAAGAAGTTGGGTTTTATCGACGGAACTCTGTGTGAGCCAAACGATCCAAACGACCCATCGATGGAGCATTGGCTTAGGTGTAATGGCATTGTGATAACATAGATGCAAAATGCTATGGCAATTGACATCAAGAGTAGCACCATTTATGCTTAAACGGCACATCTTAGTTGGCTTGACCTTGAGCAGTGATTCTCTCAGCAAAATGCACCACGTATTTTTGAAGTTAAAAAGGATATCACAACCTTGATGCAAAGCTAGGACTCAGTGAGCATTTACTACTCCAAACTCAAAACTTTGCTAGATGAACTGATGAATTATGAAAGCATTCCCAGCTGCACTTGTGGGGGCATGAAGACAGTAATCCAAAACCAGCAGAGGGACTGGGTTATGAAGTTTCTGATGGGGCTGAATGACTCTTATAGAGAAATTAAGGCTCAATTCCTGCTGATCAAGCCTTTTCCTAGTTTGAATGAGGTATATTCTTTGGTCCAGCAAGAAGAAAAGAAGCGAGAAATATCCAACCCAGGACCTATTAACTCTGACTCTATGGTATTTCTAAGCAGAAAGAACTTCAGAGAATGAGGAAATCATAATTTTTCGTCACAGAAAAAGGATAAATACTATTGTACTTACTGCAAAGTAACAGGTCACTCCCTTGAGAGATGCTTCAAGGCAAATCCAATCAGGCCAGTGTGCTCTACTGTCAAATGCCAGGACATTCAGAGGATAAATGCTACAAGCTTCATGGATTCCTACCTGGCCACAAATCTAATGACAAAGGGAAATCTGCTGCAAACATGGTCCATTCAGGGACAACACCTAATTAGGAAGTAGTGAAGGACAAAGATCAAGTAATCTTAAGCCAATAGCAATACTCTCAGCTGATGGCACTTCTCAGACCAGCAACAAACCTTCAATCATCCATTTCTTCATCAAACAATGTCAGGCCACATGCTAATCCTTTTCCATTAGATGATTTCAAACATAAGTTGTCTGGTACACCTCTAAGCTTAACTACTTTTCATTACAACCATGGAAGCATCTCTGAAACACCATGGATTCTTGATACAGGAGCAACAGATCACATGATCTACTCCACCTCTTTCTTTGCATCTGTCCAAGCCAATGTAACTTATTCTGTGGTTTTTCCTAACGGAGAAAACGTCCCAGTAACACATGTGGGGACTGTGAAAATCTCAAAATCCATTACTTTACATAATGTGCTTTGTATTCTTAGTTTTACTTTCAACTTGATTTCAGCAAAGAAGCTAGCTCAATCACTAAATTGTTGCCTTGTTTTCTTCTCTAAATATTGTTATATCCAGGACCTTTTGACCTAAAGAACAACTGGAATGGGTGAGGTGAAAGATGGATTATACCACATGGTGAGAAAGCAAGTCCCCCCCAGCCTTGTCGCAAGTCCTCAGTCAGTTCAAATGTTTACCTTCTTCCTCTGCATCTATCACTAAAAATAACAAGGAATTTGATCTATGGCACTACAGATTAGGCCATTCCTCATATTCAGAGTTTAGTCCTGATGGAAACATCCATATCCCTGCGTCCTCTAGTATCAGCCATTGTTCTGTCTGTCCTCTAGCAAAACAACACAAGTTGCATTTTAATGTTAGTCACCACAAAACAAAAAATGTTTTGAGTTAATCCACTGTGACATATGGGGACCCTATAACGAGTTCAGTAGAGATGGTTCAAAATATTTCCTATCTATAGTAGATGATTTTAGTAGAAGTACATGGATTTATATGTTAACCTTTAAATCTGATGCAACAATTACTTTACAAAACTTTTATACCTTGATTGAAACTCAATTTGAAGCAAGAATGAAGACCATCAGATCAGACAATGGTGGGGAGTTTAACATGACCAAATTTTACAAAGAAAAGGGCATAATACATCAGAAAACCCTTGTCGAAACACCGAAACAAAATGCCATTATGGAAAGAAAACATCAACATATCTTAAATGTGGTGAGAGCCTTGAGGTTTCAAAGTGGACTCCCACTAAAATACTGAAATGATTTTGTAATGGCAACAGTATATCTCATAAATAGGATACCAATACCTATCCTAGACCAGAAAAGTCCCTTTGAAATATTGTTTCAACCCAAGCCAAAATATAGTCATCTAAGTGTTTTTGGGTGCCTTGCATTTGCCACTACTCTAGTCAATGGTAGACCTAAGTTTGATGCCAGGTCCAAAGAGTGTGTCTTCACTGGTTAACAAAAAGGATTTTCATTTCAAGAAAGGTAATTTTTCATGAGAGCTTTTTTCCTTTTAAAAACATCAAAACCAATGAAATTACTCCTTCAACAGTTTTTGATCACCTAAGTTTCACACAAAATCCAGTTAGCAATGATCCTATAGTCTCCTCAGTTGATAAAACTGAAGATCAGCTTCTTAACCACAACACTTCAAACAATCCATCTTATACAGAGCCTTCTGATCTTTAGGAGCAAACCAACCATGATATAGCACAATCTATCACTGATATTCTGGAATCAAAATCCCCTATTGTCACTCACTTACCTCGCAGGTTAAACAGAATTCGAAATGCTCCTCCTCACTTGCAAGATTTCATGTGCCAACAGGCCTCTTCATCTCTCCCATCTCAGGAGTTCAACAGCCACAAGGAACCGATTATCACGGGTAGTATTTTTCCCCTTAGTAATAGTATTTCCTATGACAGATTATCCACACAACACCGCACCTTTACAGCCTCAATAATAAATCATCCTGAGCCTAAAACACATCAAGAAGCCAAAAATTCTCCTGAATGGTGTGCTGTAATAAAGGCTGAGATTGATGCTCTAGAGCTTAATGATACCTAGTTTTTAACCAACCTACCGCCTGATAAGGAAGCTATAGGCTGTAAGTGGGTATACAAGATCAAGGATAACACCAATGGAAGTGTTGAAAGGTACAAGGCGCGTCTTGTGGTCAAGGGATATACTCAACAAGAAGGACTTGACTACCACGAGACCTTTTCCCTTGTAGCCAAGCTAATTACCATCAGAACCTTGCTAGCAGTGGCAGCAATCAAAGGATGGAATCTGTGCCAATTCAACGTGAATAATGCATTTTTACATGGTGACTTAGATGAAGACGTGTACATGGAGCTGCCTCTTGGATACTCAAATGTTAGTGGAGATAGAGTCTGCAAGCTACGCAAAAGTCTGTATGGGTTGAAGCAAGCGTTGCGCCAATGGTATTCAAAACTCTCCTGCTTCATTGTTGAACAAGGGTACATTCAATCAAAAGCAGATTATAGTCTGTTCACTAAGTTAACTGATAGTTCCTTTATTGCTATTCTTGTGTATGTAGACGACATAATTGTAGCTGGTAATTGCATCACTACCATTGATAAACTAAGAGTCTCACTCAATGACAAATTCAAAATCGAAGATCTAGGAAGATTGAAATACTTTCTAGGCATTGAAGTAGCAAGATCTAAGAATGGGATTCATATATACCAGAGGAAGTATGCTTTAGACATCCTAGCAGACTCAGGCACCATTGGTTTAGCCCCTGCTAGGATCCCTCTTGACCAGAATGTAAAGCTCAGCAAAAGCGAAGGAGAATTGTTGGCTAATCCATCACTTTACAGAAGACTAATAGGAAGACTATTATATTTGACAATTACCAGACTAGACCTTACCTATTCAGTTCAAACGTTAAGCCAATTTATGGGAAGTCCTAGGATCCCACACTTACATGCTGCCCATAAGGTATTGTGGTACATTAAAAGAGTACCTGGACAAGGATTGTTTTACTCTGGAGATTCGAAGTTGCGGCTAGAAGGCTATTGCGACTCAGATTGGGGAGCCTGTGTGGATACTAGAAGATCAGTGACTGGTTATTGTGTATTCATTAGGAAAGCCTTAATATCGTGGAAATCAAAGAAGCAACAAGTAATATCTTGATCTTCAGCGGAGGTGGAATATAGGGTAATGGCAAATCTCTGCTGTGAGCTCACTTAGCTAAGGTTTTTGCTTACGGATTTAAACGTTGAGCATCCTCAGGCAGCTTTGCTAAATTGTGACAACAAAGTTGCAATTCACATAGCAACAAATCCAGTCTTCCATGGAATAACCAAGCACATCGAGCTTGATTGCCATCTAATTCGAGACAAAATACAAGATGGCAGTATAGTTACCTAGCATGTTCCCAGTGCGTCACAAACTGCAGACATTTTTACCAAGCCCTTGAACTCCTAGAGCTTCTACTCTTACTTGTCGAAGGTGGGAGTAATGAACATCTACTCTCCATCTTGCATGGGGCTATTGAAGTTACAGGATATCAGCCAGTTGGATGATAATCAGCAAGAAGAATGCCACGATAGATTGATGACAAAGCAGCAACACAAGAATAATCTAGAAGCAGATTAGTTAGTTTGTTTGTATATTCCATTTCACCACCACTTATTCTGTAAATTCGTCAGATAGTTGGTTAGGAATTGATTCCATTATTTTTGTATATATATGTATCATTCCCAGTACAGAAGAAGATAGATTGAATGGAAATTATTTCTGCTTCATCTCAAATTATAATTTCTGTCTTTTCTCAATTCATTTACATCAAAATTTAGCTTTCCAAATCTACAAAATGTTTGGCACACTATGGCTATATAAGGAAATAAATAATTATAATGGATAGATAAGGTGGATATCATTTTTATTTTTTTAGTCGAAAGATAATCATTTGCACTAACCTTGCAACATAATGCAAAGGTTAGAGATGAGTTTAGGTCGAATAAGAAAAGATAAAGTAAATGACATTTTTTCTAAATTGCGAAGGTTAGAGATGAGTTTAGTTCATATTTATCGAGGTTTCACATGATTAATTCCTTGCTCCTAAATTGCAGATTCATTATGTTAACTCAGTCTTGCATTTAATTTACTGATTTGTGCATGCATTCTATATTTCATTCAGATCAAAGCAGAAACTTTAATTCTTGAAGGAGATCCAAAGGATAAGATTTGTCAAGTTGCGGAACAATTACATGTTGATCTTTTAGTCATTGGTAGCCGTGGGCTTGGCACAATCAAACGGTTAAACTTCTGAAATATGCACTTTTCATCATAATCCCGATCGTTAAATTTAGAAGCTTGATCGACCATAAGATGGCTAATTAAACAGCAGTGGAAGATGTTTCTTCTTTGTTTTTTCCTATGTTGTAAAATAAACAAAATCTTTATGATTATGTTTGCTGAGCATGTCTCTCTCTAACAGACTAATAGAATAGGAAAGTAAAATTCTATATTCATCAAAAGCTGTAAAATATGATAGTTTGTTCGTGGCCCCATTTAATTCTAATTGAGCACGGGAAAAGAAAGGTCCAAGTTACTTGCACTGCTGGAATCGAAAGAAGTCTAAAGATTTAAATTGTGCGTCATCATCCATCTTTGCTGCTTAAGCATTAATCGTGTAATGAAATTCTACTTGTAGGGCTTTCCTTGGAAGCGCTAGCAATTATTGTGCTCATCACGTCCAGTGTCCCATTCTCATTGTGAAGCCTCCGCCTCCGAGTAAAGAGGCTCACTCAGAATAATGAAATGTGCTAAGAATGTGTTGTAAAACCATAGGTTTAATGTTAGTAATGTTGAGATTTCTCTCTTTCCATTCCCTAGTTAATGCGTGTCATTTAAACTGTGTGAGATTTGTCAATTCATTTAGGGGAAAAAAGTGAAAATAAAGTTGAGTGATCTTTTGGGACTTGGGAGCAACTTAAAGATGACTGACTACATTAAAATAAAGTAAGTTTTAGTGACCATTTGAATTTTTGTCATTCATTTATGTCAGAGCAACAAGTTTTAGTGACCATTTAAAAACCTTTTTACCCGGCCCATTCGTTTTTCTAACCTACCTATATATACCAAAACACTTCTGTACGAATTTTTGGTGAGTTCAACCTTCATCTACATTGATTGTTTTAGTGAGAAAAATATCGTTTCTATAATTCAAATACCAAATTGCATTTCCTCTATATCTGGTCAGAGTTCTCAAGATCGAGGGAGTTTAACTGGAGTTCCAGTCTGTGAAGAACGTGATGTTCTTCGTTGATCCACGTGAAATAGACGATTCCACAAGGCTAGAAGTGCTGCAGGTTAGCAGATTCTATGGAGAGCTTTGGCGACAGCAGCTAAGGATTGGTTCAGGTAAGCATGGGATCCAGGGAGAGCTATAAGTGCGGTTGAGTGATCAGATAATACGGTTCGTCTAGTTTGATAGACAGTAGGTTGTTTGAATTGTTTATAATGGATTGCCTAGCAATGTGCCCGAAGTTTTTCATAGTTGGGTTTCTCCGTGATCAACTTGGTATTGATTTACTGCTTTCGTTATTGTTTATTGATTGATCACATAAACTGCGGTATTTAAACTTAGGACTAAAATGACCTGTATGTTTAATCATTTAGAGAGTAATTAAAAAGTGACTTGTTGCTGTTTAATTGGTAAAATGTTTTTAATTCCGCATAATATACCTATTCACCCTCTGTAAGTATTGTTAGGGTCGAACTGCGTAACTTTGAATTGGTATCAGAGCCTTAATTCGATTCCTGACCCTTTGTAACATCTAGATGAGTTAGTTATTGTCCGTGCCTCAGTTTTTCGATGGAAGTAACTATGCCTACTACAAAGTTCGAATGAGAGCCTTCCTTAAATCTTTGGATGACCCTATATTTAGATTAGCATTCAAAATGGGTGGGCTCCACCTTCAACAATTGTTGCTGGTGTAGTCACACTCACTGACATATCTCTGTGAACTAAAACTAACCTAGATGAATGCAACTGAAACAGTAAAGCGTTACATTCTTTATTCATGGCTGTATCTGTTGAAGAGTTTAGGTGAGTGTCAATGTGTAAAACTGCTAAAAAAGTTTGTGATATATTAGAAACCACACACGAGGGTACCAAAACTGTTGAGAATTCTAAACTGCAGATGTTAACCACTAAGTTTGAAGAGATTAGAATAAAGGACAATGAATCATTCGATGAATTCTATGCGAAACTGAATGATATAGTTAATTCTAGCTTTAATTTAGGTGAAAGGATCTCGAGATCAAAATCATTAGAAAAGTCCTTAGATCTCTGCTCGAGTGGTTTAGACCTAAGGTTACGACGATAGAAGAGAGCAAGGACTTAGATGCAATTAAAATTGAAGAACTCGTAGAATCACTTCAAACTTATGAACTCACTATCTCTCGATCTAAAAAGGGTAAAACCATCACCATGAACACCATCAGAAAAGAGAAGAGTGAGTTCACCGATACTGAGATCCTTAGGGACGACGAAATTGTTTATTTCGTTAAAAAATTTCAAAAGTGATGAGGAATAGGAGAAAACCTCAATAACAAAAAACTGGATTCCCTAATAAATTCATGAAAGATAATCGTGAAGAGAGTGACTTTAGGACTGCTAATACGAAAACCCAACCTGTTAGATGCCATGAGTG